ACTGAAGTGTGAAGACAAGAAAAGCTGCTGCTTATTTTGTTTGCATTCTGTCCTCTTGCACTGAAGGTGAACTATGATTCGGTCTTTTGTGCCATTGTAATGTCAAGTATGAGTGGTCACGTAAGTTATGTGATAGATTAATGTCCCAGCAGTTGTCTTGGCATTTCTCCCTCTCATCAACTCTATATTTTTTATTAATCGAGCATTCATCTCCAGCCCAGAGTCTGACCTGAAACTCATCCATCTTAACTGCCTTTTATTTTTCTTCATTTCACAGACTAGGAAGTGCGTCAGACTTGTTCCTGACGCTAATATGTTCACAACTGCCACCCTGCTTTTCACTCCCAGAGAGCGATGGGCTTCAACAGGAGCTGAAGGCAACGGAAAGAGTGACACAAAGTCCCCTTGCACGTTTAAGCAAGTTTTCACAGGTATTGAGATATTAAATGTTTTATATTCTTGACACATGGTTTCACCTGCCAGAGCAGTGAAAATTTAACAAGACTTTTTATAGCATGCTGAAGGCAGTGTATGCGTACATATTAAGTCACCAACTGGGCTTATTTAGGTTTACCAACAACTGAATTCCCATTTAGAAAGTGCCTGTGGAAAGCTTGTGTTAATTATTTAGAAGAAGCCACGTGGCAAACAGCTGCTCGAAAATCTCCTCACTGAAAATGAGCTTTTTTCCAAGAGGACCCATCCACCTCTTGTAATGGCTGTATAGCGCAGCAGGCAAGGATGCTCTGAGCTTTTACTCAGCTGGCGACTGAGTGACAGCAGAGCCAAGTTATCCTCCCCCCCCCCCCTCTCCGAATACCTATCCTTCAACTACTTCCAGAAAATAATTTATGCCTCAGGCTGACTTTTTCCAGATTCAAGTAGCTGTTTTCATCATATTTACCCTCTTAGGTTTTTTTTACTCATTCAAGCAGGCTTCGCAGATTTCACAACATTTTATTTGGCAAATAAAACGTGCCTGTATTGTTTAGCTATGTTATGGTGGTAACTGGCTGTGAATGAAAGACACCAATCGCACCTAATAACTGTGAACTAAGTCACTCAAGTCTGGATAATAAGGTGTTAGAAGCAACGTTTTTTTTTTTTGTTCTGTCTTTTTGTTATGCGGAAAATGATATTACAAAGCCGCCCCCTCCAGGATTACCACAGAAAGTGCACAGCATGGCGCTTGTGCCGCTGGCAATAGCATCTGTCACTGTGTTTACTTTGGCTTCTTTTTTGTAACCTTTCTATATTAAACATGTGAAAAAGTAATTCTGTAATGATCGAGCACATCACTTCCTCATTCTTTGGTATTTATGTGAAAAAGCTTCAGAAATGGAAGTAGACAGAGATTCCTAGCAGCGCACATAAGACCTTCCCATTCCCTGGCGAAGATGTAGCCCTGGAGTTTTTCTCTAGTGACTGTTCGGTTTTTGTTTGTTTTCTTCTTGGTCTCTGGACAGCCTTGGATTTGGTTGTGTGTATTGGCTGAGGCCTCTGGTTCAACATTAAAGGCCATGTTCTCATGTGCTGTTTCTGAGAAGAACACTCAGTGCTGTTGACGGTACTCTTTGGAGGAGGTTTTTCACTGGATTAGGGGAAACTGTCAAAAGCATTTACACTTGATTAGTGTAATTATTGAACCACTGGCTTCTTAGTAAAACCTTATTATTATCTTTCAATGTGCAGCTACCTTGTTCGTGTCTGTTTTGAGCCTAAAATGGGATAAACATTTGGGGTTTGTCCTAATAACCATGTGAAAATAACATGAAATGAAATATGCCAAAATGCCAGTATTCTACTACCACATCCTGCCAAATCTTGAGGAAGGCAAGCCAGCCATTTGTGACATTTGCCACAGCAGTCCATAGACAGGTGTTTAAACTAATACTGCAAAAGTTACTAAGTGCCCTCATTATCTATAAAATGTGAGCAAAAGGGTTACAGTTCATAGGGTCAGTGTCATGGCACAGCAGTGGCAAAGCAGTACAATATATGTCCCAATCATTTGCAATAACATATACTTGGAGTATGTACTCAAACTAAACAGAAAATGTGCAATTTCAAACTCAGGGTTAGGCTGATTTTTATTCTATGTCTGCAGGAAGTGGTAAGAGTTAAAGTTAGAGCGGGAAGCCACTTTTCACACCAAAATAAGCGCAGGGTAACGTCAGCTCGCAGTGTGAGGTTTTCAGACAGGAAATGAACATGCTAATGTCTATCTGCACCATACACTGAGGAAGCTGAAGTGCGTAACAATGATCATCTTATCTTTGCAATGCAACAAGTCCTGGGTGGAAAAAAAAACAAACAAAGAAAAAAAATACTTAAAAACTGATGATGACTGATGCAACGAAGCAGACAAATGATTCAAGACAATAACCCAGCACTCAAATTCCCCACATCCTACTTTGATATAGTATTAAAAGGAATGTGCTGGAAAAAGCCAGAGCCAGAGAGTCAAAGCCAGAGCTGCTCTGATGACACGATCAACACTTAAATGAGCAAAATTCCTAAAGTTGATTATTAAGACCATATAGCAGTTAAAAAAATAAGCCATAATGAAAGTGATAGTTTGGAGAAGGAAAGCAGCAATGTAAATTAAAAACAGAACATTTCTAATTAAGCAAAGGAAACATTTATGTGGCTTTTTAGGAGCTCACAAACAAGCACTGGGTCCCGCAGTGGCAAAGTCAGAGGTTTTTACAGCTCGGCCTTAGGGGTAGTGGAAAGGATGTGATGCGATCAGAAGAACGTGATTAACAGAAAGCAGGCTGTAGGATAAGGGATCCCCATCCATCTCTTCATTTCCTTCACTTATCCCCCTTTTTGTTCTGTGCCTTGATCCCATCTCTAGAGGCCGAGTTATGAGCAGGCTTCAACTCTTCTTCCTCTTTTTGTTTTCATTCAGGAAGAAGAAAAGAGGCCAGAGTGCGTTGTTGGAGTGTTTTTCTTGGTGCTAACATCCACTGCAACATCAAACAAAAATCAAGTTGAGAACAGGAGACTCAAGCTCGAATCCCTTTTGCTCATCATAAAGTCCCAGAACCCGGGGGTTTCTCGTAAGTCGGCATGAGCTGCACGGGGATCTGGTTACGTTAAGTTTGAGCTGTATTTTTTCCTCTCTGCGCCTCACTGAGGGCAATTGTTTTCACCATGTACACCAAAAGTGTGATGATTGGCGGGGTGACGGGGTATTACCTTTCTTATCTGCATTAGTATTACAGTAAGTGCTTGCATGGTTTCAGGGAACAGCTGTTTTTTCTGTGTTGGATCTTCACTGATTTGAATATGGATGAACAGAGTGATCAGAGGCAGAGTTTGTTTTGAATGTATAAGTGACCTTTGATGGACCATGCTTCCCATGGCTCTGCCTTCATTCGGATTCCAAGTTGAACTCTTCAACCCGTTTTCTTCACCTCAGTTGTTCAACTTTAAGCAGAAAATGTATCATGTGGACAAACCGCACTAACAGCAAAACAGCAAAGTTGCTCAGCGCGCAATCTTCCTACGGTTTAGCCTCCAGTCTTTTCTCAACTGGTTGCACATGGTCTGCAGAGGGGGCCTTATGTGAGAAGTCACTAACGCTGACTGGAAAGCAGTCTCTGCATGGTGCAGCAGTAGGCTACCAGACGTGTGTGTCTGCATCACTGATTATTCCATTCAACACACACACACTCACGCGCATACACCGTGTAACCCCACTTGCAGATATTTTACGAGACTTTAAAACAAGCCAACACAACTATTTGATCTTGCTCTTTAACAGAGAAGAAAGTGCTGAGTTTGCCTGTACTGATTACACACAGTTGGCTCATAAATTTCACAAAAAAACAAATAAATACAATTTGGCAAGGTCGCCAAAGTTGTACAAAGAACGTAAAGCAATTTCCTGAACTATTCTTCTACAACATACATTCTCTGCAAATGCTCCGAGGCTCATTTCATTTTCTCTCAACCCTTTTCTCTTCATCAAAATCATTTCATCTTTTTTTTTTTTTTTTTTTTATTTCAGAATGTAAAAGAGGTCAAACAGTCCAGTATTTCATATATTTTTGTTATTTTCTGTATGCAAACACAGGCCAAACGCAGACCTGTTCTTTAAACTCTAGGACACTGTTCCTGTTTCAGCCATAATGCACTACACGTAGTTGAAATTTTCCCACACATCTGACTTATTCGACAGTTCTTCTGCTTGCTTCCTCGGACGCGTTCGTCGTTCTTAGTTTCAGACTCGAAAACATCGTCAGTTTTGCTCGGGTTCATTGCAGATTTGCAGTAAGATATGATCTTATTAAAAAGAAGTTGTTCCATAAGACCTTGCAGAATAGCGGAAGTTGAGCAAATATCAATAGGCCGACAGTGTGTTTGTGAAGAAATCAGAATTCAGAAGTTCTCAGAAATTTCCCATCATGCCGCCACATCAGATGAACAGTGGGTACAGTATTAAATCTGAGGGTGTGAATGAAAAACAGGATGCTTTGACTTTTGTTCTCATGGTCTCACATTTGCCTAAAGAAATCTCATGCTAAATAGGGGAAAGCCCCAAATCCCTTTCTATTTGGTTAACAGCTCTTTTTCTCAAAAGGGGCAGTCTTTTTTATATATGTATATATCTTTTTTCTCTCCATTTTTTAGCACCAACACTGGTGCAGAAAGTGCAGAATATATGCATGAGTTGCAAATGGTGCACAGACAAGCATGACGATAAGAGATTGGTAATGAAACTAATTGATGACTATTCGCTAAGTTGGTTCAGTGAACTGTTACGTTAATAGTAAACCTAACCTTGAATCACAATATGCTTTTTTTGATGTTGTTGTTTTTGGGGTTTTTATACACAGCAGTCGTCCTCGGGTTGAGTCCTGAGCTTCACACACCTTCACAGCTGGTGGGATATTTTTATCTTACTTTTAGGTCATGTGCGTGTTTTTCTGCTTAAATTTAAACATGCAGTACACCGATGTTTACCAGAAATACTGTGACCTCTCTAATGGTTAGTATTGCAGTTGACTGGTCTTTATTCCCATGAAACATTAAATAAAACGTAAGGCAAAAAAGCATCAGACTATTACCATAACAGCCATTCCTGTAATTGATTGATACATGAAACATGATAACTGGTACATATTAATTATATACAGTATTTACACGATCCTGTTGCACTAGTAACACTAAAATATTGTTACCAAGCCCGGTGACGATATTTGTAACCCGAGTTGCTCAAGTTAGATAAATTATTACACAGGAACATACATTTCAGTGTTTAGGAAACATTAATAAACTACAAAAAATTACAAGAAGAAGGAAAAAAAAAAAACTATTTTGTGAACAACCCACACAGCATATATTATTGATAAACCATTTGGAGCCTTATCGTGCTTCACAGAAGTGATTATTTTCCACCCTCTGGGGATATTTAAAGGGCCAGCTCACTCAAATTACTAAAGCGGATTATATTTTTACAACCTCTGTCTATACACATGGTCTCACTCTCTTGATCGGTGGGTCACACCACGATGATAGCCATTAATTAGAGGTTGGTTGTTGATAACTGCGACACTGGCTTGTGTAGTGAATCTCATAGTGAGAATTAATATTGAATGACAAATCGTAGGATGGCAACTATAAGAGGAATCCACATTTCACTCAATTCCCCCTATATTTGTGTGTGAATAAGTCACTGGTTGAGACACACTCATTATATGATCTTTATCTTCAGTGCATCAATTTAGCCGCCAAATTCAAATGATCTGAGTTTGCCAATGTCTCAATATGACCATTTTACCATAGTAATAAAACTTAAAATAGTTTGAAAGCCACAAAAAGCCATATGCATATAATTAGAATCTATCCCACATCACTCATCACACCATAATGCCAAGCTTTGTTTTTCTGCCCTGCGTTCGGGTATTCACATCTAAATTGCACCGTCATCCAGTTCAACTACTTTACAAGTGTAATTGGTCATGCGATTTGCGTTATTGTTAAAAGTACTTCAAAGTGCTCAAAGTAGAAACAATGAAACGCCTCGATGTTTTGGGGTAATAGTTTCCGCTCAGTGCTGTTCTCTGCTGGCTGAGGAATCGGTAGTAGGTTTCAGAGGAAGTCGTCTACTGGCCTCCACTTAAAAATAGTCCGGTCTTTTTAGCTTCTCTGTTGCATCTAGAAGTCCTCGTCATAGTCAGTGTTCGGAAGGCCATTTTCAGGAAGCACATACAGCGATTTGCTTTTCTTCTTCCTGCTGTCTGATTTCACCCGTGAAGGGTCTTGATCGCCAGCAAAGGACAGGTAGGCAGCGATGCTGTTCCTGACTCCATAGCTCACCATGTTTTCGTTGCAGGCGTCTGTGCTGACCAGCTGCTTCCTGTAAAGTGTAGAGATGAATACAATTAATCCCACCTTAGAATAAGGACAAGCCTTCAGTAAAATGCTGGATTTGAGTGCAGTGGTCAGGTTCTTTGTTTTTTTTTTTTTTTAACTCAGTTTCAGCATTTAATGTGTTTTCTAACCTGTAGCCTCATTCACACATTTTGTTTTTTCACATGCGTAAGCACTTTTAACCTAACATTTAAACAGGTGCATTAGGGACAATTCAAAGTTCAGTCTGTCGCCCAAGGAAATTTCAAAATGGAGCCAGGGGCTGAACCACTGACCTTCACATTTAACCGTTAACCAGGCTCCACCTCCACAGCTGCCTCAGATATTCATTGCTGCCTGATTTTATATGCGCCTCTTGTTTAATGTTATGATTAGAGATGGCACGATACCACTTTTTTATGTCCAATACCAATATCATAAATTTGGATATCGGCCGATACCGATATGAATCCGATATAGTGTGTTTTTTTTTTTTTAATAAATAAAACTGTTTTTTTTAATATCTTGCTACATTTTGTATAAGTTCATACTCAAGTTAAAAAACAAAACAAAACACTAAAGCTATTCTGTTATACCTGTATGCAAAAAATACACTGCACCCAAAATATTTCATAGTTCAGCAAAACTGATCAATCTAATAAACTTAAACCTGCTCCATCCTTCCTATTCTGGTATTTTAAAGAGTAAGCAACCTAACTAATAGGGTTCTAAAACTCCCAGCAAATAAAAATAATAATAATAGGGAACCACCCCCCACCTCATGATGCTTAATCGACGTAATCAACTTTAGTTTGATGCAGTGTGGAACAAAATGCACAAAAATCAATTATTTTTCAAGAATAGTTAAATAGATTCAACATCTTTCTTCAACAGAACTTGCACAGATGGTACCTTCCCAAAGGAAAAAGTACTAGCTTACTAGGGTATATTAGACTTAATAGTTACTATATACAGTCTACATCAGATT